GTAGTGCCCCATACTGTGTGTACACAATTAAAGTAGTGCCCCATACTGTGTGTACAACATTAAAGTAGTGCCCCATACTGTGTGTACACCATTAAAGTAGTGCCCCATACTGTGTGTACAACATTAAAGTAGTGCCCCATACTGTGTGTACAACATCACAGTATGGGGCACTACTTTAATGGTGTACACACAGTAGTGCCCCATACTGTGTGTACACCATTAAAGTAGTGCCCCATACTGTGTGTACAACATTAAAGTAGTGCCCCATACTGTGTGTACAACATTAAAGTAGTGCCCCATACTGTGTGTACAACATTAAAGTAGTGCCCCATACTGTGTGTACAACATTAAAGTAGTGCCCCATACTGTGTGTACAACATTAAAGTAGTGCCCCATACTGTGTGTACAACATTAAAGTAGTGCCCCATACTGTGTGTACAACATCACAGTAGTGCCCCATACTGTGTGTACAACATCACAGTAGTGCCCCATACTGTGTGTACACCATTAAAGTAGTGCCCCATACTGTGTGTACAACATTAAAGTAGTGCCCCATACTGTGTGTACAACATTAGTGCCCCATACTGTGTGTACAACATCACAGTAGTGCCCCATACTGTGTGTACAACATCACAGTAGTGCCCCATACTGTGTGTACAACATCACAGTAGTGCCCCATACTGTGTGTACACCATTAAAGTAGTGCCCCATACTGTGTGTACAACATTAAAGTAGTGCCCCATACTGTGTGTACAACATTAAAGTAGTGCCCCATACTGTGTGTACAACATTAGTGCCCCATACTGTGTGTACAACATTAAAGTAGTGCCCCATACTGTGTGTACAACATTAGTGCCCCATACTGTGTGTACAACATTAGTGCCATACTGTGTGTACAACATCACAGTAGTGCCCCATACTGTGTGTACAACATTAGTGCCCCATACTGTGTGTACAACATTAAAGTAGTGCCCCATACTGTGTGTACACAATTAAAGTAGTGCCCCATACTGTGTGTACAACATTAGTGCCCCATACTGTGTGTACACCATTAAAGTAGTGCCCCATACTGTGTGTACAACATTAGTGCCCCATACTGTGTGTACAACATTAAAGTAGTGCCCCATACTGTGTGTACAACATTAGTGCCCCATACTGTGTGTACACCATTAGTGCCCATACTGTGTGTACAACATTAAAGTAGTGCCCCATACTGTGTGTACAACATTAGTGCCCCATACTGTGTGTACACCATTAGTGCCCCATACTGTGTGTACAACATTAAAGTAGTGCCCCATACTGTGTGTACAACATTAGTGCCCCATACTGTGTGTACAACATTAAAGTAGTGCCCCATACTGTGTGTACAACATTAAAGTAGTGCCCCATACTGTGTGTACAACATTAGTGCCCATACTGTGTGTACAACATTAAAGTAGTGCCCCATACTGTGTGTACAACATTAGTGCCCATACTGTGTGTACAACATTAAAGTAGTGCCCCATACTGTGTGTACAACATTAGTGCCCATACTGTGTGTACAACATTAGTGCCATACTGTGTGTACAACATTAGTGCCATACTGTGTGTACAACATTAGTGCCATACTGTGTGTACACCATTAGTGCCCCATACTGTGTGTACAACATTAGTGCCCCATACTGTGTGTACACCATTAAAGTAGTGCCCCATGCTATGTGTACATTAAAGTAGTGCCCATACTGTGTGTACTAAATATCCAGGCTGTACATAAGAAAATGTCAAAGAGTAGTACTTAAGTTGTACCGACGATGTATTTCGGCAGTACCGCGACTACTGCACTTCGATAGTACCAATTGTTAACTGAAGTAGAGACGAAGTACTTCACTGGAGCCGAAAAAGTACACAAGGAGTACCTACCGCATTTGAGTACCGAGACAGGTCTTTAAATGTCGATCCCCCCCCCCCCCCCCCCGCCCCACTCCCCGGACTAATCTAGCGTCCATCATCTGAAACATGTCTACCACGCCCGCCATCTTGGCCGCCATTTTGTGTAATCTCGGCTGAGTTGTCAGGATCCAAGATGGCTACCCCAGGGAACAATAACACGGCCACCATGATACATCTGGGGACAGCGGCATTAGCACAATTATAGTATGATAGCCGTCCTCTCCACGGGCTGGCTGACAAATAAGTGATGGATGCCAAGGTCAAGGGTCACAGCCAAACCGCGGCTTGCGAGGCCAGGGAAATAACTCTGATACTAATTTCAGCGAGTCATTTTTTTTTAGTTAAGATACTTAAACTGAGGCGTCATTTGCAGGCGGTGCCAGAGAGTAGCCCGAGGGCGGTCGGGGCGTATTTCGGTCAGATGTCTTGAAGACTTGGGTCTCGCCGCTAGTCTTGAGATCATGGAGCTGGGGTAATTGCTGGCGCCACAGAGGGGGCAAATTGGAGGCAATCACACGGACTCGCTATTACTGGAGGTCTTGTCTGTCTCCCCCACCCCCCAGCCCTTAAGCTGGGGGTAATCCTACGGACAGACCAAGACACGGGGAGACACAGGTCCATACATACATTAGAGAGGGCCGGGCCGAGAAATCAGTGGAGTAAAGCAAACAAAAACACAACCTTGGAGGGAGAGAAATCGATCGAAAATGGACATTTCAGAAGTCAGCAATCGATAGTTTTTACACACACACCCACATTCCTCTGCTGGCCGAAATGTGTGAGGTGTGGGGGGATGTGTGAGGTGTGGGGAATGTGGGGGATGGGGTAACAAGTCACGGGCGCAGGAAACACAATCAGGGAGTTAACCAACCAGATAACAGCCGTGGATGTTGTCCGACCAATCACATCACAGCATCTGATGTTGGGCTAACAGCTTTGGATGATGTCAAATCAATGAGCTTGCGACTGATGTTGCCCAATCATTTACCTGAGATCTCACGTTTTACCAATCCATGGTCTTACATCTTGAGATGTTATCTAATCAGTTTTATACAAACATCCTTTCATTTCCCCACAGTTGTTCTATGTAGATAGCGTTCTATGAAGATGTATATCCCACCCAATGGAAACGACTTTATGTACGATGCTCCCCCTAATCATCGTCATAACACCCTCACACCCTCCCACATCACCTTCATCGTCTCACCTCCCCCCACACACCCTTATTCTAACACCTCCCGCACTATCTCATACTCACACCTACACCACCGTCACACCCCCACCCTCACCCCACCGTCACACCCCAACCTTAACATCTCACACCTCCCACACCACCTCCTACCCCACCGTCACACCCCACCCTCACCATCTCACACCTACCCCCACCGTCACACCCCACCCTCCCCATCTCACACCTCCGTAACTCCCACACCTCTCGTTCTCACCACCTCCCACCCTCCCATTCCAACTTCTCCATCACACATCCCCACACCCTCACACCTCTCCCGTCCCCACACCACCCCATCTTGCCTGTACCATCACACACACCCCCACCCACACCCTCACACCTCTCCCGTCCCCACACCACCCCATCTTGCCTGTACCATCACACACACCCCCACCCACACCCTCACACCTCTCCCGTCCCCACACCACCCCATCTTGCCTGTACCATCACACACACCCCCACCCACACCCTCACACCTCTCCCGTCCCCACACCACCCCATCATGACTGCCTGCCTGTCCCATCTCACCTTCCCCCACCCCAGCGATCGAAATCCCGTCACCCCCGGGTCGGCAAGAGACCCAACCAATTCCTGTATCCGGCTGACCTGTTGACGGGGTCGTCAGGTAAAAAAGTGAAGCCATGAAATATGTTTGAGAGAAGCAATTAGTCATTGTCGTCCGTGTGTTTGTTTGTCATTCATCCAGCGCTATTTATTGAATGAGAGCGTTGTTAGGCGCCTCGCGCTCATCTATCATCAAACTGGGAACATGAACAGCACATTTTTTGAAGGTCCAGCTTTAATTTATCTTCGTTTTAATCCGCGGCCCGTCTGTCACGCCGTGTGGGGTGTCACGCTGGAGGTGTGGGGGTCTATTTGTCACGGTGAAGGTGTGGGGTGTCACGTTGGTGGTTTGAGATGTCACGGATGAGTAGGATGTCACGCTGGAGGTTTGGGGTGTCACGTTGGAGGTTAGGGGTGTCACGTTGGAGGTTTGGGAAGTCACGTTGTTGGTTTGGGAAGTCACGTTGGTGGTTTGAGAGGTCACGTTGGTGGTTTGGGGAGTCACGTTGGTGGTTTGGGGTGTCACGGATGAGTAGGGTGTCACGCTGGAGGTTTGGGGTGTCACGTTGGAGGTTTTGGGTGTCATGTTGGAGGTTTGGGGTGTCACGTTGGTGGTTTGAGATGTCACGGATGAGTAGGATATCACGCTGGAGGTTTGGGGTGTCACGTTGGAGGTTAGGGGTGTCACGTTGGAGGTTTGGGAAGTCACGTTGTTGGTTTGGGAAGTCACGTTGGTGGTTTGAGAGGTCACGTTGGTGGTTTGGGGAGTCACGTTGGTGGTTTGGGGAGTCACGTTGGAGGTTTGGGGTGTCACCCTTAAGCTGTGGGGTGTCACAGTTGAAAAAAATGGGTCCAATACACAACCTCGGCTTAAAAGGGATTCCTCCATAACCCTCACTCTGATCCTAATCTTGACCCAAAACATCGGTTTCCGACATAAAACTGGCCCTTCTTTGCCGACACTACTACAACGAGACTTCTATACCGGTCTAGTGTACTAGAGTTTCTATACCGGCTTAGTACCTGTCTTTCTATACAGCGACCCCCTTGTACCAGCCTTTCCGTTACCGGTCCAATATACTGGCCCCTCTACAGGGGTCCTTGGGTCCCAGCCTCCCATGTATCCACCTATTGGAAGACTTGTAACACCCCCCCCCCCCCCTACACGTGCACCTACACACGGTTAAGTCCTGTCGTCAGCCATCTGATACAGTTGCCTTGGTTCTCACACGAGAGATCTTCGCTCGCCAACCTAGTACTTACCCTTGTGTCCAACCTGATGCTCAACCTCGTGCCCAACCTAGTGCCCAACCTAGTGCCCAACCTCATGCCCAACCTCATGCCCAACCTCATGCCCAACCTCGTGCCCAACCTCATGCCCAACCTCGTGCCCAACCTAGTGCCCAACCTCATACCCAACCTTATGCCCAACCTCATGCCCAACCTAGTGCCCAACCTAGAGCCCAACCTAGTGCCCAACCTCATGCCCAACCTTATGCCCAACCTAGTGCCCAAACTCATGCCCAACCTAGTGCCCAACCTACATGCCCAACCTTATGCCCAACCTAGTGCCCAAACTCATGCCCAACCTCATTTCTTACCTCATGCCCAACCTCATGCCCAACCTCATGCCCAACCTCATGCCCAACCTAGTGCCCAACCTCATGCCCAACCTCATGCCCAACCTCATGCCCAACCTAGTGCCCAACCTAGTGCCCAACCTAGTGCCCAACCTCGTGCCCAACCTCGTGCCCAACCTAGTGCCCAAACTCATGCCCAACCTCATTTCTAACCTCATGCCCAACCTCATGCCCAACCTAGTGCCCAACCTCATGACAACCTGGTGCTCAACCTAATGCCCAACCTCGTGCTCGACCTCATGACAACCTGGTGCTCAACCTAGTTTCTCGTAAAGATGCAAGAAGCCACACAAGTGCGAAAAATGCCGATGAAAAAAAAAACAAGTGTAAAAAAAAATGTGTCAGAAAAAAAAAAAATAATCACGGACTGAAATGTCTGTGTGTGGATACAATTCTTAACAACTGCACTTTTTTTTGTGGACGTTTAGTTTTAATTTCGTTGGGGGGAATTTTTCTCATGCTCCCCATCTCAGCCGGGATATAAATAGATTTGTCATGAAATTTGTTCGGCGCTCTGAAATAGAAGGGTATTACTTGAAGCCAAGGAAAACAATGAAGACGTTTTGACGATCTTAGTAAAGCTGTCGATGACATGGTCAGGCTGGCTCCGTTGTGGTTCTTGTATGTTTGTAAAATACACGTGTTTAAAGTCTGTTGCTTATATATGAGGCTGTCTTCATTATGTGTCTAGCCTATTTGTAAGGCTGTCTTCGTTCTGCCTCTTGCCTGTTTGTGAGTCTATATTGCTCTGTATCTGCATGTGTGAGTCTATATTGCTCTGTATCTGCATGTGTGAGTCTATATTGCCCTATCTCTTGCCTTAATGAGTCTATATTGCTCCGTATCTTGACTAGTAGTGAGGCCGTCTCCAGATATCGATCCCCTATGAGTACTCACCTTGATTATCCCCAGTACCTTCCCATCTGTCTGCCCTGTGGCCACGTCATTACTGCACGTCCATTAGGTGCCCCCGGTGTCAGTAGTTTCATCATGTCATATCTGACATTGTCACAATACATGTGGCCCAACTTGTGTCGAAATACACATGGCCCAACTTGTCAAAATACACATGGCCCAATTGTAAAATACACATGGCCCGACTTGTTAAAATACACATGGTCCAACTAGTGTCAAAATACAGATGGCCCAACTTGTCAAAATACACATGGCCCAACTTGTGTCATAATACACATGGCCCAACTTGTGTCAAAATACACATGGCCCAACTTGTCAAAATATACATGACCCAACTTGTGTCAAAATACACATGGCCCAGCTTCAAAATACGCATAGCCCAACTTGTGTTAAAATACACATGGCCCAAATAGTGTCAAAATAGACATGGCCCAACTTGTGTCAAAATACACATGGCCCAACTTGTCAAAATACACATGGCCAAACTTGTCAAAATACACATGGCCCAAATAGTATCAAAATACACATGGCCCAAATAGTGTCAAAATACACATGGCCCAACTAGTGTAAAAAAACCTGTGACTTTACTAGCTTAAATTGTGATCGCAAGTTTTTTCTGTAAAGAAGCCTTTATAACGTGGGTTTTCCGTCGATGAAAATAACTATTTTTCAATGATTCAATGCTACGTTCTATTTTTAAATGAAACGCTATTTTTCAAGGGAACCAACCTTCTACTTTTCTCAATGCAACGATCTATTTTTCAATGTTACGATCTATTTTTCCCAACGTCACAATCTATTTTCCAATGCCACGATCTATTTTTCTCAAAACAACGATATATTTTTAAATGGTACCATCTATTTTCGATGTCACGATCCATTTTTCTCAATGTTACGATCTATTTTGCTCAATACATCGATACATTTTAAAATGGTACCATCTATTTTCGATGTCACGATCTATTTTTCTCAATGTCACGATCTATTTTTCAATGATACGATTTTCTGAAATCGGCATCCAGTAAGAAGATAAATTAACGACTCGTTTTTTTTAAAGTCCGACTCAATTACGTCCCCTGTCATTAAGTTTCGTCCGTTCTATTTGCCGGGGCGTGTCCTAATTGTCTACCTGTGTCGGACATAAAAGTACATCCTACTTCATCCCCAACAGTTCTTCTAATTCCGTCCTGGCTTTGTTTTTTATCGACGACTGTAGCAGACGATCAGAATATCCGAACCGCTGGGGGAAGTCAATGTCAGAAGTCGTGACGTCATCATCAAAAGTGGGATTTGGGTGGTGTCATAACCACACCAGGGGGTGACCCGTCCCCGGGATCCAATCGGACTACATTACGAAGAAGCGGCGGTGGGTTTCTTTTTAGGTTTTGTATTTTCCTACCAGGGTAGCTTTTTATACGTTTTATATTTTAATGGATGCGTTCGGGGAGTTACTTAAACTGACAGAAACCCTTATCCATGGTTGGATGAGTTGTGGATATTAGGCTATGTCGAGTCGGATTTGTTATCTTGTATCTGTGTGAGGGAAAGTAAGACGGGTATTTTATTTACCTGTGGAGTGAGGCCGATATTTTATTTACCTGTTGAGTGAGGCCGATCTTTTATTTACCTGTGGAGTGAGGCCGATATTTTATTTACCTGTGGAGTGAGGCCGATATTTTATTTACCTGTTGAGTGAGGCCGATATTTTATTTACCTGTGGAGTGAGGCCGATATTTTATTTACCTGTGGAGGGCCGATATTTTATTTACCTGTGGAGGGCCGATATTTTATTTACCTGTGGAGTGAGGCCGATATTTTATTTACCTGTTGAGTGAGACCGATATTTTATTTACCTGTGGAGTGAGGCCGATATTTTATTTACCTGTGGAGGGCCGATATTTTATTTACCCGTGGAGTGAGGCCGATATTTTATTTACCCGTGGAGTGAGGCCGATATTTTATTTACCTGTTGAGTGAGGCCGATATTTTATTTACCTGTGGAGTGAGGCCGATATTTTATTTACCTGTGGAGTGAGGCCGATATTTTATTTACCTGTGGAGTGAGGCCGATATTTTATTTACCTGTGGAGTGAGGCCGATATTTTATTTACCTGTGGAGTGAGGCCGATATTTTATTTACCTGTGGAGTGAGGCCGATATTTTATTTACCTGTTGAGTGAGGCCGATATTTTATTTACCTGTGGAGTGAGGCCGATATTTTATTTACCTGTGGAGTGAGGCCGATATTTTATTTACCTGTGGAGTGAGGCCGATATTTTATTTACCTGTGGAGTGAGGCCGATATTTTATTTACCTGTGGGGTGAGGCCGATATTTTATTTACCTGTGGAGTGAGGCCGATATTTTATTTACCTGTGGAGTGAGGCCGATATTTTATTTACCTGTGGGGTGAGGCCGATATTTTATTTACCTGTGGAGTGAGGCCGATATTTTATTTACCTGTTGAGTGAGGCCGATATTTTATTTACCTGTGGAGTGAGGCCGATATTTTATTTACCTGTGGAGGGCCGATATTTTATTTACCTGTGGAGTGAGGCCGATATTTTATTTACCTGTGGAGTGAGGCCGATATTTTATTTACCTGTGGAGTGAGGCCGATATTTTATTTACCTGTGGAGTGAGGCCGATATTTTATTTACCTGTGGAGTGAGGCCGATATTTTATTTACCTGTGGAGTGAGGCCGATATTTTATTTACCTGTGGAGTGAGGCTGATATTTTATTTACCTGTGGAGGGCCGATATTTTATTTACCTGTGGAGTGAGGCCGATATTTTATTTACCTGTGGAGGGCCGATATTTTATTTACCTGTGGAGGGCCGATATTTTATTTACCTGTGGTGTGAGGCCGATATTTTATTTACCTGTGGAGTGAGGCCGATATTTTATTTACCTGTGGAGTGAGGCCGATATTTTATTTACCTGTGGAGTGAGGCCGATATTGTATTTACCTGTGGAGTGAGGCCGATATTTTATTTACCTGTTGAGTGAGGACGATATTTTATTTACCTGTGGAGTGAGGCCGATATTTTATTTACCTGTGGAGTGAGGCCGATATTTTATTTACCTGTGGAGTGAGGCAGATATTTTATTTACCTATTGAGTGAGGCCGATATTTTATTTACCTGTGGAGTGAGGCCGATATTTTATTTACCTGTGGAGTGAGGCAGATATTTTATTTACCTATTGAGTGAGGCCGATATTTTATTTACCTGTGGAGTGAGGCCGATATTTTATTTACCTATTGAGTGAGGCCGATATTTTATTTACCTGTGGAGTGAGGCCGATATTTTATTTACCTGTGGAGTGAGGACGATATTTTATTTACCTGTGGAGTGAGGCCGATATTTTATTTACCTGTGGAGTGAGGCCGATATTTTATTTACCTGTGGAGTGAGGCAGATATTTTATTTACCTATTGAGTGAGGCCGATATTTTATTTACCTGTGGAGTGAGGCCGATATTTTATTTACCTGTGGAGTGAGGCCGATATTTTATTTACCTGTGGAGTGAGGCAGATATTTTATTTACCTATTGAGTGAGGCCGATATTTTATTTACCTGTGGAGTGAGGACGATATTTTATTTACCTGTGAGTTAAAATATAATCCAGACATGTATTTGAGTGAAGCCGATATTTTATTTACCTATAGGATAAAAAGTGAGACGGACTTATATTTGAGTAAGGTCGATATTTACCAGTATAAACTGAGACAAGTATGTCTCTCATACTTAAATGTGTCAACTGAGAAAACAAAAAGTGAGACTTTCTTGTATCTACTAGATACTAAAGTGAGACACACATGTATCTTAAACGTAAGTTTAACACCGTGAGTTAAATAAGTGAGACTGGCATTGAAAATTGCATGTGTAGAAAATGTGAGGCGTGAAAATCTATAATTAGACAATTACGTCAGCGACTGTAGCATTAGATGTGCTTATAGTTTCCACCCTGCTGTATGTGGGCATGTCACCCCCCATCGATTTACGGTCACGTGGATCCCGTCTACGTGCCGGTGGCACCAAAGACAGGTCGATACCGGAACTGATTGATTGGTAATAACTACTTCTAGTTGACCAATTAGAGGTCAAGGGGTGGGGGTATAGATGGCTGTTTGAATAATGTCCCTTGCCACTTAGTTGTATTATTTTAGCACACAGCCTTTAATGGGGATTTTTTTCCACCTTTCTTTGGTCGCCTTTCATGTGTCTGATGCTGTTTTCTACATTAGCCTCAAGCGTTGGATTAATGGCTATCATTGTTTACTTCCTTCTTCATATATA